ACAAACAAATAGTAATAAATTATCATTGATGAAAAAATAATATTAATTTTTGCTTCTTATAAGTCATCATAATGTAAATTAAGTTCTTAATATTTATCTGCTTAACCGCCTAATAATGCAGATGTGAATGTTAATACAATAAACATATACTTAGAGGATATTATAGGAATATAATGCATTAAAACAGTGGCGTGCTCCTTGAGTAAAGAAACTCGATATGGTTACATCTAAATTAAGTATAAGGACTTTTTTTTAGAGATTCAATAGAACAGGATAGATATACTAATTTACAAACAGTTGGTTACACATCTTGTTTACAGATTATGTGTAAAATAAGAATAAGCTTACTTCAAAATTTTGAAATAAATACTTTAAGAATATGGATGTGGGATGGAGATGTTAGAAGTTATAAATTTTCTGTTTACGCTATAAGTGAGAACAAAGAAAAATTAATTTCAATTTAAAATGCAGCATCAGGGGTAACAACAATATGTTTTCCTGATTAGCATGTGAAAGAATTTGTATTATATAATTTAGAGGGAAATACAAGAAATATACAGTTTCACATTATCAAGATAGAAGCATTTTATTAGTTCAAATGAATAGATTAACAATATAATACCCTTAAATTATATGGAAATTTATTACGTGATATATATGTTCAAGCTTTTTTAGAATAAATTCTTGCTACTTATTCTTAAATTCATACTTGAACCTTTTGAAAGGTTTTCTTTCTCTCTTCCTATTTCATTCAAGCAGTTTCCAATAAATTATCATGAACAAAGACTATTCTATTATCACTTAATACGAGATTATATAAGAACTGTAACAATTATTCATTAGAATAAGATGCCAACTTTTTATAAAGAGTCAAAATATTAATTAAATGGACATCATATTTATAAAATCTATAGAGAATAAGTTCTAAAATTGCGAGATCTTTTTATTTAAAGATAGATGAATGATGGAAAATGTTTATCAGTTTGAGAAGGCAATTTTATGCCTCTAATATGAATAATGTGGTGATGGCAATCTTATTTAATAAGATGAATCTTTAAATGTATATACTATTGCTATTTATCGTTCAGTGAAACAAAAGCATCAGAAGTATGGGTTTAATAATTATTAACCTTTATCATGTTTACAATAATGTTTTTACTTCTAAAATCGATTTATTAGCCATAAATAAGTAATCGAAGAATTTAATTGTTATCTTGATATTTAAATTAGGAATTAATTAGAATGCAAAATAGTTGCTCAATTATTATTTAAGTGAATAAAAATTCTAAACCTATGTAATCTAATGGAAATAATTGCATGATAGATAAATCCTAATCACAATCTATTGAGAAGGCTAAAGCAAAATTAATTAACTCTATTATTCTATTCTAAAGTCTTAAACGCACCACCAAAAATTATTCATAAAATTGATTAAAGTAATCAACCTTAAGTAATATTTTAAATGATTTAGTGCTCTTATCTAATTAAGCCCAAGTATTTATTTTATATTTCCAACTATTAGTTAATTTTATTTAATAATATCAAAATATTATTAATTTTATCTAGTAAGTAAGTCTTTTACATTTACACTATATTAATAGACTCCAAACAATCATCATTGGATAGAGTTATAAATTCTTAAGTTTTCATTTAAAATTTCTTACTTTCTAACTCTCTTTATTATTATAGTATTAGAATTAGCTAATTATTAAAATAGCAATCCTAATCCTAATATTCTGTTATTGCTGATTAATTAATTAATGTGTATATCAATTTTTATTGAGATAAGGTTAAAGTGTATTTTCCATTTAAATAATATTTAATAATATTCTATATTAATGAAGTTGGTTAATTGATTATGAATTATATTAAATTTATATGATTCCAAATTTATTTATTTAAATAAATGTAAAATAAATAAAATAGGAATTTGATTTCAATTT